GATCTGGCTCAGATCCCTAGGAATCGCTAGGGAATGGTAAGATTCCGGCTATGATCCCTGGAATCCCTAGGGAATGCTAGGGATCTGGCTCAGATCCCCAAGAATGCGCAGCGAATGCTACGGATCTGGCTCAGATCTCCAGGATTTCCTAGGGAATGCTAGAGATCTGGCTCCGATCTGTAGGCATGAGAAAGATCTGGCTCAGATCCGTAGGAGTGCCTAGATAATGTTAGGGATCTGGTTTGATCCGTCTCACATTTTGTCAGGGAGCCTCGGTAGCCCTTGGAAAATTGTAAGGATCTGGTTCAGATCTTCTTTTGAATCCCTAGGGAATGTTGGGGATCTGGTTGAGATCCCCAGGAATCGCTAAGGAATGCTACGGATCTGGCTCAGATCCCCAGGAATGCCTGGGGAATGTTCGGGATCTGGCTCAGATCCCCAGGAATGTCTGGGGAATGCTAGGGATCTGGTTCAGATCCCCAGAAATCCATAGGGAATGCTAGGGATCTGGTTGAGATCCCCAGGAATGCCTGGGGAATGCTAGGGATCTGGCTCAGATCCCCAGGAATGCTTGGGGAATGCTAAAAATCTAGCTCAGATCTCTAGGCATCGCTAGGGAATGCTAGGGATCTGGCTCAGATCCCCAGGAACGCCTAGGGAATGTTTGGGATCTGGCTCAGATCCCCAGGAATCCTTTAGGGAATGCTAGGGATCTGGTTCAGATCCTTAGGAATGCTTGGGGAATGCTAGGGATCTGGCTCAGATCCCCAGGAATGCTTGGGGAATGCTAAAAATCTGGCTCAGATCCTTGGGCATCCCTAGGGGATGCTAGGGATCTGGCTCAGATCACTAGGAATGCCTAGCGAATGCTAGGGATCTGGCTCAGATCCCTTGGAATCCCTAGGGAATCCTAGGGATCTGGCTCAGATCCCCAGGAATGCTTGGGGAATGCAAGAAATCTGGCTCAGATCCATGGGAATCCCTAGGGAATGCTAGGGATCTTGCTCAGATCCCCAGGAATGCCTAGCGAATGCTAGGGATCTGGCTCGGATCCCCAGGAATGCGTCGGGAATGCTAGGGATCTGGCTCCGATCCGTAGGAATGCTTAGGGCATGTTAGGGATCTGGCTGAGATCCGCAGGAATGCCTAGGGAATGTTAAGGGGATCTGATTCAGATCCTTAGGAATGCCAAGGGCATGCTAGGGATCTGGCTCAGATCCATAGGAATGCTTCGGGAATGCTAAGGATCTGGGTCAGATCCATAGGAATGCTTAGGGAATGCTAGGGATCTGGCTCAGATCCTTAGGAATCCGTGGGGAATGCTAGGGATCTGGCTCGGATCCATAGGAATGCCTAGGGAATGCTAGGATTCTGTTTCAAATCCGTTGGAATTCTTTTTCTGCTCAAATCACCAATTGGAATTCCGAGGGAATGCTTTGGATCTTGCACAGATCCCTTGGAATCCGTAGGGAATGCTAGGGATCTGGCTCAGATCCTTTGGAATGCCCAGGGAATGCTAGGGATCTGGCTCAGATCCCTAGGAATGCCTGGGGAATGCTAGGGATCTGGCTCCGATCCTTGTGAATTCTGATTGGCTCAAATCATCAGTTGGAATTCCTAGGGAATGGTTGGGATCTTGCTCAGATCCCTTGGAATCCCTAGGGGATGTTCGGGATCTGGCTCAGATCCCTAGGAATGCCTGAGGGAATGCTAGGATCTGTCTCAGATCCCTAGAAAGCCCGAGGGATTTTTATGGATCTGTGTCAGATCCCGAGGAATCCCTAGGATCTGGTTCAGATCCCTAGGCATCCTTTCCGAATGCTAGGGTCTGGCTCAGATCCCCAAGAACCCTTTGGGAGTGCTAGGGGTCTGGCTCAGATCCCCAGGAACCCCTAGGGGCTAGGATCTTGCTCAGATCCTTAGGTTTTTTTTTTCTGAATCCCAGGGGTTCGGCTCAGATCTTTAGAAACCCGTACGGCATGCTCGGAACTTGGTTCAGATTCATAGGCATTCTTTCGGACTGCTAGGACCTGCCTCAGATCGATTGGAATCCCTAGGGGATGCGAGGGATCTGGCTCATATCCATAGGAGTCCCTAGGGATTTTTAGGGATCTGGCTCAGATCCATAGGAATCCCTAGGGAATGCTACGGATCTGGTTCAGATTCGTGGGAATTCTTTCGGAATCGTCAGGATCTGGCTCTGATCCCTAGGAGTCCACAGGGAATGATAGTAGCTGATAGAAGCTGCTAGAAGCTTAGGAATGAATCTATAGGGGATGCTAGGGTCTGGCACAGATCCCCAAGAACCCTTTTGAGAGGCTAGGATCTGCATCAGATCCCTAGAAATTCTTAGGACCTGGTTCAGATCCCTAGGCATTTCTTCGGAATGCTAGGGATCTGGCTCAGATCCATTGGGATCCCTTGGGGATGCTAGAGATCTGGCTCAGATCCTTAAGAATCCCCGCTGTAATGCTAGGGATCTGGCTTTGATCTTCAGGAATGCTTCAGGAATGCTAGGGATTTGGTTCAGCTCCGTAGGAATTCTTACTGGCTCAGATCCATTGGAATCCATAGGGAATGCTAGGGATCTGGCTCAGATCCATAGGAATGTATAGGGAATGCCAGGGACCTGGCTCAGATCCCTAGGAATCCGAAGGATCCGAGGCAGATTCCTAGCATTCCCGAAGGATTCCCAGGGATCTGAGCCAGATCCCTAGCATTCCCGAAGGATTCCCAGGGATCTGAGCCAGATCCTTAGCATTCCCTAGGGATTTCCATGGATCTGCGCCAGATCCCTAGTATTCCCTAAGGATTCCCATGGATATGAGCCAGATCCTTAGCATTTCCTAGGGATTCCCAGGGGTCTGAGCCAGATCCCTAACATTCCCTTGGGATTCCCAGGGATCTGAGCCAGATCCCTAGCATTCCTTGGGGATTCCTTGTCCCCACGGCTCCCAGGGCTTGAAGCCAGATCCCTGATCTGGCCCGCTCAAATTTTTAGTACAGAAAATTCAGATCCCTGACTTGGACCGCTTCCATTTTTTGGCACGTAGACGACCCGTTTGCGGTCCGTTCCCCGTTCTGGCCGTTAGAAGATCGGTTCCCCGTTTTGGCCGTTTACCCAGCTTTTTTCCCGGAAAGGGCTTGGGCCCAGGGTTCTCTTTTTCTATGTAAACATGTCCCCGGTGCCCAACTTGAAGGAGGCCGGCGAAATTATTCCCTGATAAATATCGAGGTCGAAGGAGGCCGGCGAAATTATTTTTGAGGATGTCTCGAGCGAAACGCTTGTTTTTCAGAATTTGTTGAGGATGTCTCGAGCGAAACGCTGGTTTTGCAGAGTTGGGGATGTCTCGAGCGAAACGCTTGGTTTCAGAATTTGTTGAGGATGTCTCGAGCGAAACGCTGGTTTTGCAGAGCCGACCGCGACACGGAAAAGCGCCCCGCGCGAAGGAATTTCGATGATGTCTCGACTAATTCGTTTGTTTTTGTACGATTTCCTGGAATTTTGGCAGGATGTCTCGAGCGAAATGCACGACCCCACCCTAGCACGACCATACCCCAGCACGACCACACCCCAGCACGACCAGACCCCAGCACGACCCCACCCCAGCACGACCCCACCCCAGCACGACCATACCCCAGCACGACCACACCCCAGCACGACCCGACCCCAGCACGACCCTACCCCAGCAAGACCACACCCCAGCACGACCACACCCCAGCACGACCTCACCACAGCCACCACACCCCAGCACGACCACGCCCCAGCACGACCACGCCCCAGCACGACCACCCCCCAGCACGACCACCCCCCCAGCACGACCACCCCCAGCACGACCACCCCCCAGCACGACCACACCCCAGCACGATCACTCCCCAGCACGACCACACCCCAGCACGACCACACCCCAGCACGACCACACCCAGTCGCACCCCCGTGGAATGTTTCGTGGCGTGTCTGGTTGAGTGGTTGCCTGTTCGTGGGGTGTCTCGTGGAATGTTTCACGGGGTGTCTCGTGGAATGTTTCGTGAGGTGTCTCGTGGAATGTTTCGTGAGGTGTCTCGTGGGATGTTTCGCGGGGTGTCTCGTGGGATGTGTCGTGAGATGTCGCCCAGTTGGGTATCGTGAAAACGTGACCATGCTGCACATGTCTTTATCCCTTTCCGGGTTCGTGGGTCCATCATGTTTGATGTATCCCGAGCAGCGCCGCGCGAGAAAAGAGCTCTACGAGGCTTCCGGCGGCTACCTGGTTGACGGCTTACCGCCGGATTCCAGTTGGTCGACTGGACGTTTCGATTTTAGGCGAATGTGTATGATCAGTTCCTGTTGAACGGTGTTATCCGGGTTTTGGACTGCATAAGTGACTCGTAGAGCTTCCCGAAAAGCGAAGTGGCGAAGCTTAAGAGTAATTCGAAAACGCTTGCAGGCCAGTTGGCTCGAAAAAAAATCGACGGAAGTTTTGCTAATTCTGGGGCGGTTGAAAGTCATTCTCTCGAAATTCATTTGTTTGAGCTTTAATTTTTTTCCTTCCATCTTCGAACTTATTCCCGCTCGCTATCTTGATCTCTGGTGGATTGGGTAGATATTATTATCAAAAAGCACTCTGGCGGGATTGGATGTTGAGCGTCCTCTGGACAGATGGTGACGGTTGATTTAACTTAACTCGAGCTGTAGATCAGCGACAGAGCGGACAGGCACACCTAATCAATCTGGAAGGAGCAGCAGCGCTCATCTCGAGTATCTAGACGCCTGAGATCGGTCTGTTACCAGAGCTGGGACCCTAGATAAAAGCCGTTTTTGCGATCGAATTCGTTTGAGAGGCTAGGTTGGTTTCTACTTAAATCGAGCTCTAGGCAAGCTGCGGAGCTGTAAAGCACGCCGTTCAGCAGGAAATGATCGTAAGTATTTGCCAACGGAAGCGAGACGTCTGATATCTGTCCGCTACTTGAGCTACGTCTCAACATTCTACTTCCACTCTTACAAATTTTGAGAGGTCAAGGTTGGTTTTCCCTACTTAATTCGCTTTAGGGGAGCTGTTCAACTGAGATGCATTCTCATCGACAGGAAATCATCAGGCGCTGGTGCACCCCCGTCACGCCAGGCGAAGCAATTCCTATCTGCGCGAGCGACGGCGCCGCTCGCGGCGCCGCGCTGCCACCGGCAGGCCGTGGCCGACGCCGGCGCGCGACAGCCGATGACGACGGCGATGTCCGTATCGTCGCGCTCGACGTTTGAGCGCGCCCCTCGCATCTTCTTTACAGACCGAACCTTCGACATCAACTTTCAGGTTGGCGTTGTCGTCGATGTGCTGCTCGCGCTCTCGACTGTGCATGCCCCGAAGGAGTGGGTCGACGAGATCACGTCCAAGATGTTGGCCGCGGGCTGGGTTCCCATGGAGCTGGGGCCAGGCCTGTGGAACTCGTGCGACAGCCGGATGATCGTGGGCATTGAATGTGCCCGTGTGGACGATGCGGCCATCAGCGCCGGCTCGACCATCGTCCTCGCGACGCAGAGGTTCAAGGAGCTCGGGGGCAACGGAACTGGGGCCAATGGAGGGCGGGCGGGCAAGTTCATGCAGACGGGGCTCGAGATCACCCAGCTCGCCGATGGTGCAATCCAGTAGTCATTCCAGAAGGCCGCCAAGAAGGTCACCATGATCGAGGGCAGGCCGCAGCCGCTCAAAGGGGAGCTGGAGGACGAGCTGCCGCCCGCAGGTAAAACTGCCTGTCGTGCAGCTAGGGGGCCTACAGTACCTTGCCAGTCAAGGGATGGGTCTCATTGCAGCCGACACGAGCATTGCCACATCCTACCGGAACGAGGCTACCTACGCCAGAGTGCGGCACATCCACAAGTTTGTCCGAATCGCCTATGAGGTGGCGGAGATTCTGATTTCCAACCGACCCCTTTATGAGATCCAGTGTTCGTGACGTTTCATGACGCCGCTTGACCTCTTCGACGAAATGGCGGATCCCAAGTGGTTTCTCACTGGCCATGGCCGAGAGACGTTTCGTGGACGGAGAACGCTCACCTACCTCTCCGCTGCTGATGGTATCCAGGCAGTGTCAACGGACTGCTCGCTCCAGTCTCGGCCGTGAGGTTTCCAGCGGCAACGTGGCGGACGAGGAGGCGATCTACTTGCGCCTCGCTGGCGTGGAGATCCTGAACGGACGAGTGGACCAACGTGCTATACCCTTGGAGCTCAAGAAGACGACGGGCACCATGGTCACCGACTGCAGTGGCCTGTACGACGCCCTGGTGACCAATGTGAGTGTTGGCTTGGGAGCCGCTGGCCGTTGGAGTGGGTTCCAGCGGGACAGCCGTGAGATGAATGCATTCTGGAGCGATGCCTGCTGACGGCCTGACGAAGGGCAGCGCCGAGGCTAGGGCGGTGACGATCGACCTCCTGGCCAGGGACCGCTGGAGGCTGGTCCATGACGACTTTTTCGCGTTGGCCAAGAAGCGTGCGGCAGTTGTCCGCCACGTTTTCTTCGATGACGCCGTGATCAGAGAGTGCAAGCCTATCAGGTATGGGGAAGACGAGGATGAGTCGGTGCAGGTCTGCAACTGGGACCCGGGCGCGTTCGGCAATTACCAGACCGACGATTTCGAGGAGACAGGCGACTTCCTCGTGTGATTCGTGCGGTGATCCACAGCTTGGTGCATTCATATTGTCTGCTTTTGCCTTGCCCTCTCTTTCTTTCGTGCATACATGTACTCATTCGTCCCGAGCCATTGGTTAGTCAAGCTGCGGCCGTGGAAGAGGAGGGTTTTCCATATCAACGAACACACGCGTTGATTAGGAGAGGAGGAGGAGGAGGAGGAGGAGGAGGAGGAGGAGGAGGAGGAGGAGGAGGAGGAGGGAGGAGGAGGAGGAGGAGGAGGAGGAGGAGAGGAGGAGGAGGAGGAGGAGGAGGAGGAGGAAAAGAGGAGGGAAAGGAGGAGGGAGGAGGAGGAGAGAGAGGAGGAGGAGGAGGGAGGAGGAGGAGGAGGAGGAGGGCGGAGGAGGAGGACGGCGGAGGAGGAGGAGGAGGAGGAGGAGGAGGAGGGGGAGGAGGAGTGATGGGATGAAGGGAAGGGAGGTCGGACCCCTTCTTGTGTTCTTTTGGGCCATCTCGGAGGCCTTCGCGGCTCATTGGGCACATCCGAGAGGCCCGATGGAAAGGGGTGCCCTGAGCTCCCTGCCGGGCGCGATCTGTGTGATCTTGACTGGTGTGCCGAATTAAGCCGGCGACGGTATGCGAACGCCTTTCTTGTAAGAACACAGCGGCATGAGCAGACCCAAGCGTCGACCCAAGAACTCGACGCGGACTTCTATGAGTTTTTCCCGGGAAGGGCATAGGCCCAGGGTTCTCTGTTCCTATGTAAACATGTCCCCGGTGCCCAACTTGAAGGAGGCCGGCGGATTCTTTCCCTGAAAAATATCGAGGTCGAAGGAGGCCGGCGGATTAAAATTTGAGGATGTCTCAGGCGAAACGCTTGTTTTTGAAATCCCGATCGATAAATCACAGGGTGCGGGACACCTCAGCACGACCACACCCCCAGCATGACCACACCCCAGCACGACCACGCCCAGCACGACCACGCCCCAGCACGACCACACCCCAGCACGACCACACCCCAGCACGACCACACCCCAGCACGACCACACCCCAGCACCAGCACGACCACACCCCAGCACGACCCGATCGATAAATCACAGGGTGCGGACCACCCCAGCACGACCACACGCCAGCACGACCCCACCCCAGCACGACCCCACCCCAGCACGACCACGCCCCAGCACGACCACACCCCAGCACGACCACACCCCAGCACGACCACACCCCAGCACGACCCCACCCCAGCACGACCCCACCCTAGCACGACCACACCCCAGCACGACCACACCCCAGAACGACCACACCCCAGCACGACCCCACCCAAGCACGACCCCACCCCAGCACGACCACACCCCAGCACGACCACACCCCAGCAGGACCCCACCCCAGCACGACCCCACCCCAGCAAGACCACACCCCAGCACGACCACACCCCAGCACGACCTCACCACAGCACGACCACACCCCAGCACGACCACGCCCCAGCACGACCAGCACGACCACGCCCCAGCACGACCACGCCCCAGCACGACCACCCCCCAGCACGACCCACCCCCCCAGCACGACCACCCCCCAGCACGACCACCCCCCAGCACGACCACACCCCAGCACGACCACTCCCCAGCACGACCACACCGCCTTGGTTGAGTGGTTGCCTGTCGTCGTGGAATGTTTCGTGGGGTGTCTCGTGGAATGTTTCGCGGGGTGTCTCGTGGAATGTTTCGTGAGGTGTCTCGTGGAATGTTTCGTGAGGTGTCTCGTGGGATGTTTCGTGAAGTGTCTCGTGGGATGTTTCGTGAGGTGTTGCCCAGTTGGGTATCGTGAAAACGTGTCCATGCTCCACATGTCTATATCCCTTTCCGGGTTCGTGGGTCCATCATGTTCTCGTGTGCCACTTTTGGCTTTTCTAGCCGCCCTCGAGGCCGTTTTGGCTCCAGACCTGTGCTCCAAGGCTTTGGCGGGTTGCCAGCCCAAAGATCTGATGTCTTGATCCCTTCGTGGCGGAACCCCCAGAAGTCCCGAGCCGCCCCCCCAGGACTCTCTCCTCGTCGTGAGCTGGTGTCTTGACGGCCGTGGGGCCTGGCGAGGGCCCCAGAAGCCGAAACCGGGAAACGCCTCCGCCTTGATCATGTCAATGCGTCGGTAATACATCGGCCACGCGCAGAAGGGTAGGGGGAGGGGGGAAGCTCTCTTAACATCACTCCTGCTTCTCAGAAGGCGCGGGCCCTGCTTATGCAGATGTATTGCCGTCGCCTTCTGAGCAGCAGCCTCCCGGTCAGAAGCCTTCCCCCCTCCCCCTGCCTCCCTCTGCGCGCCGCCATGTCTAGGCGCGTCCCGGGTCCGCGCGCTCGGGTGCCTCCCCGTCTGCGCGACCCGCGCCCGTTCTGGACCGTGCGCGCAGCGTTGCGCGGCGCGGCCAGGCATGGTCCGTGCCGGAGGCAGGGGCGCGCCCGATATTGGCTGGCTGGGCTGCTGCGGGCTGGCGGGGCTGCTGCGGGCTCGTGCCTTCTACCTGCCGGGGGTTGCCCCCACGGAGTATCCCGAAGAGGGAAACGCGGCACGGGCATGAACGCCAGGGCGGCCACGGTCGGACGGGGGTAGGACGAGGAAAGATCCGTTCCAGAGTTTTCCGGAACGCTGCCAGGGCGTCCCTGCCGTCGCGTCCTACAAAACTGCCTGGTGTCAGAGATCTCCGACATACCCTCACCCCAATTTGTCTTCGTGTCCGGGGGTGAGTGGGGGTGATGTCTGGGTGTGTGTGTAAAACGACGCGAAGATCGGGACAAAATCGGATCGGGATGACTCGAAATCTCTGAGAATCGGCCCTCGTGCGGCCGTGGCCCGTATGCGCGCCCCCCCCCCCGTCTGGGACGCCCCCGTCGCAGGACGCCCCCGGGTAAACTCCCGGAGGGCCGCGCGGGTTTCTCGGATCGGTGCGGGGCGCCACACCGGGGTCCAGCGGTGATCAAAAAAGATCTGCGCGAACTCGGGGGAAGAGGCTCGATGACCATGGCCAAGGTGTCGCGGGAGCTCGTCGACGCCGATTCTGGTCCTGGGCCATGTTGGCCGCCGCCGATTCGCGAGGATGATCCACGAACTGACGCTGAACAAGACGAGCATTGATCCAGATCGGCACCGACGTTTCCGCGTTCAGTCTTGATCGTCGTCGTTGTTTCCTTGCCTCCACAGACCTCCGGAGTTTATGCTCCATGCAGTCTTTCTTCTTCCGGTTTCACGAGGGAAGCCCCGTCGAACTGAAGGTGAACAAGCTCACGAGCGTAAAGACGCAGCTCCCCTACCGATACTACGTGCTGCCCTACTGCACTCCCGATGAGATCCACGTGGCTGCTGAGAACCTTGGCGAGATTCTGCTCGGCGACTCGATCGAAAACTCCATGTTCGACATCAAGATGAACGTCAACGTCTCGTGCGCGAACCTGTGTACAAGGACGCTGACCGTGGACGAGAAAAACAGGTTCAGGAACATGATAGACCACGAGTATCAGGTCAACCTGCTGGTGGACAATCTGCCGGGTGCCATGCGGTACTACCGCCGGGGAGACGAGGGCTTCTCCTACACCAACGGCTTCCCAGTGGGTGTGAAGAAGGAGGGGAGGTATTACGTGAACAACCACGTTCGGGTGGGACTGCAGTACCACGTCGACCCAAGCGAATTTGAGGGCTTCCGTGTCGTGGGCTTCGAGGTGTTCCCGCAGAGCCTGGTCCACCGCAAGAGCGCGGTCGGCGATGTGGCGACGTGTGAGGATGCGGACGACGTTTCGCCTCACTGGGACCTTGCCGAGCACGATTCCATCGTCTACAGCTACGACGTGACGTGGACGCCGAGTAGCGTGCGCTGGGCCTCCCGCTGGGACACGTACCTCAGAATGCACGAGGGCCAGATCCACTGGTTCTCGATTGTCAACTCGCTGATGATAGTTCTTTTCTTGGCCGAGGGCCTCCGGCCGTTCCCGTCTGCCCCTCCCCGCCACAGGCATCGGTGCATTTCTCGTCGCCGTCGTCGTTGCCCTCTTCCGACTCCTTCGATTCGTCCTCCTGGGTGCTCTCGAGGCCCTCTTGGGAGCACTGTTGGGCCGCCTGATGGTCCTTCCTTCTCTGGTCTGGTCATCCCTCTTTGATCCTTTGGGGTTTGCTTGAGTCTATCTTGGTCCATCTCAGGGCACTCTGTCCACCTCGAGCTTTTGCAGTTCGCAGGTCGCTCTTGGAGAATTGGTCATGTGGCGGGCTGTTGGGTCAGCCAGATTCCATGGATCCCTTAGGCTCTTTTTCACTGTGAACTCTCAACCTGGCACAGGGGCCCCTTGCAATGGGATCGTGCCCTGGCTGGGAACGCGGGCCTCTTTTGCAATTCATTCGGGATCGTGGTACTGGGAGCTCGGACCTGTCATGATTCACCAGGGCTTCTTGCCCTGGAAGCGCGGACCCAGCGTGATCCACCAGGGGGCCGTTGCGCTGGGAGGGCAGATCCTTTGCAGTTTGCATGGGGTCGTGCCCTTGGGGAACGCGAATCCTTTTTGATGCATTCGGGATCGTGGGCATGGGAGCGTGAACTCCTCCAGGAATTGCGGGATCCAGCGCCGTGACTGCAAGGGATCCTGGCCTTGGGAGCGCGGATCCGTGGCAACCTGCGGAGCATCTTGGTCCTGGGAACGTGTATCCTGGACCCCCTGCAATTCACCAGTCATGTCGTGGTCCGGGGAGCGCGGGCCCGTGGTAGATTACTCGGGGTCGTTGCCCTGGGAGTGTGGGCCCAGTGTGCAGTGTGGGCCCGTGCCGAGAAGCACCCTGCTCGCCTCCAGGGTGCCCTGGGCCTCTTGGGCTCCGAGGGTTTTGCGACGGGAGACGTGGCGTTCCACACAAACAGATCCATGGCCGTCCCGGGGTCTCGGGGTTAGGTGTCTTGTGGGAGATTTCTCTGTGGTCGGACCTCCACAGCAGTTCACGATGGACCGCCGCCAGGCGGGCCCAGATCCGTCGCCCATTTGTGGGCAGCGTGGGCCCGGGACTCACGGCGAGCTCCAAGGGATCGCGGCTCGCGGAGCGTTCCGCCCGCAGTGTTAAGTCGGGCGGGTCCCTCTGCAGGAGGAGTAGTAAACAATAGTCCAGACATAGTCAGGGGACGATTTTTTGACTATCGTTGAGTATTTTTTGTGAATTTGTAGACTATTCTTCATTTTTTCCCGGAAAGGGCGTGGGCCCAGGGTTCTCTTTTAGTATGTAAACAATGTCCCCGTGCCCAGCTTGAAGGAGGCCGGCGGATTCTTTCCCTGATAAATATCGAGGTCGAAGGAGGCCGGCGGATTAAAATTTGAGGATGTCTCAGGCGAAACGCTTGTTTTTGAAATCCCGATCGATAAATCAAAGGGTGCGGGACACCTCAGCACGACCACACCCAAGCACGACCACACCCCAGCACGACCACGCCCCAGCACGACCACACCCCAGCACGACCACACCCCAGCACGACCACACCCCAGCACGACCCACGACCACCCCACCCCAGCACGACCACCGCCCCAGCACGACCACACCCCAGCACGACACACCCAGCACACCGAGCACGACCACCCCACGAACGACCACACCCCAGCACGACCACACCCCAGCACGACACACACCCCAGCACGACCACACCCCAGCACGACCCCACCCCAGCACGACCCCACCCCAGCAAGACCACACCCCAGCACGACCACACCCCAGCACGACCTCACCACAGCACGACCACACCCCAGCACGACCACGCCCCAGCACGACCACGCCCTCAGCACGACCCACGCCCCAGCACGACCACCCCCCAGCACGACCACCCCCCCAGCACGACCACCCCCCAGCACGACCACCCCCCAGCACGACCACACCCCAGCACGACCACTCCCCAGCACGACCACACCGCCTTGGTTGAGTGGTTGCCTGTCGTCGTGGAATGTTTCGTGGGGTGTCTCGTGGAATGTTTCGCGGGGTGTCTCGTGGAATGTTTCGTGAGGTGTCTCGTGGAATGTTTCGTGAGGTGTCTCGTGGGATGTTTCGTGAGGTGTCTCGTGGGATGTTTCGTGAGGTGTTGCCTAGTTGGGTATCGTGAAAACGTGTCCATGCTCCACATGTCTATATCCCTTTCCGGGTTCGTGGGTCCATCATGTCGTCCAAGATCCTCCTGCATGGGGGACATGCCCGACCTAGCCGTAGTAATTTGCAGGAGAGCAGATGCCTGGGGGCGCGGACCCGTCTCGCTCTGCAAGGGGTCGCGCCCTGGGAGCGTAGGGGCATGTTACGGTGATCGTGGCCTCGAGAGCGCGACTCCCCGGTATGCTAAGATGGATGGTGGCCCTGGAAGCGGGATCGAGCGCAACCTGCGAGGGGTCGTGGTTCGTGGCTCTGGGAGCGCGGGCCCAGCGTCAGCGCAGAGTGCGAAGGGTCGTTGCCCTGCGAGCGCGGACCATTTGAAGCCGCGTGGATCCTTCGACATTTGCGCAGGATCCTGGACCTTGGAGCGCGGACCTGAGGCGTGATGTCCCATGGGAAGGAATACCCTGACCAGAGTTAGCCGGAGGGCTTGGGTGGGTTGGCCGCAGGATCGGCTGGCGTTGACCAGAGGGTTGGCTTCCAGCAGTGGCGAAGCGTCCTGGCGTGTCTATAGGCCTACCACACAATGTTCTAAGAACCCTTCGTGGTTTCCACGACATGTTCTTAGAACATTTCTGGCTGGGACTGTTCTGATTTCTTAGAACCCGACACATCGGGTTCTAAGAACACAAACAACAATAATGTTGTTCGTGTTCTTAGAATATTTCTGGGTTCTGGAACATTTCGTGGTAGGCCTACAGGAATGCCGGGACGGTCGGTCCCTGCTCACTGGCTGACATTGACCAAAGGGTTTGCTGTGGTAAGCTCTCGATAGGCAGAGCCTCCCATTCCACAGGGCAGCCCCAGGCAGAGTGATTTGCGAGGGGCCGTGGCCTCACGGGCGCAGATCCACAGAAGTTTGCGCTGGTTCGTGGCCTTGAGGGCGCGTGTGTGTGTGTGTGTGTGTGTGTGTGTAATTTTTAGACGCCCCGAGTAGCCCCACCAACCCATCCAGAAACGATTCCCAGTGCCCTGATCAGGTGTGTGGAGGAGTGTGCAGTGGAAGGAAGGGCTGGGGAAGCCATTCTATCCCAAGAGGGGGAGGATGGAGGAGGAGGGAGATGGGTGAGGGCGAGGAGGGAGGAGGAGGAGGATGAGCAGGAGGAGGAGGAGGAGGAGGAGGAGGAGGAGGAGGAGGAGGAATAATTGGCGGAGGAAGAGGAGGAGGAGGATGAGGAAGAGGAGGAGGAGGAGGAGGAGGAGGAGGAGGAGGAGGAGGGCGAGCAGAAAGGCCAGAGGCCTCTTGGATGCCTCTTGGAGTATCTAGAGGGCTTCTTGACATCTTCCTGCGGCGTCTTGGGGACCTCTTGGCGGTCTCGGAGGCCCCTTGAAGCGTTCTGCTTGTTTGCTTCCGGGGCACCTCTTGGGGCCTCTTGGGGGGCTCTTGGTTGCTCCTGAGTGATCCTTGGGGCCCTCTTGGGGCATTCTTGGGAGCTTTTTTTGGGGCCATCTTGGAGGAGTTCGATAAATAAAGGGGGTGTGCTTTATCATTCTCCCCCTTCCAAATAGCCAATATTTGTCCAACACCTTGCGGAAATTAGTGATTTGTGCCTTCTCGCTGAGAACTTTTTGGACGCTTCAACGACCCGCGACCCCCCCTTATCTAGGTCCAGGGGAGGGGGAAGGGGAAGGGGTAATCCCTTCCCCGAAGGAGAAGAAGGGGGCTTGGAAGAGGAATCTCTATTGACCACTCCCGCCCAGAGGGCTGGTGTGGTCACAAGGGATCGTGCCCGGGAACGCGGATCCATCGTGCGTGATTGAGGGATCGTGGCCCTGGGAGCGCGGACAAGTGGCAGTCTACTTATTTTGTTACGCCGCAGCGCTGCAGAGGAGCTCTGCTCGCGCGCTCTTAGTGGGTCGGGCGAAGACGGCACCAGTTGTCCGGCTGCGTGGCCACTTGCTTTGGGCCGTGGCTTTCGGAGCACGGGCCCTCGATTGCCCCCATGGGGGTCCCTGCCTTGGCTCCTGAGTGCGTGGGTGGGTGCACACCTCATGGGCCGCCGCCACGCGCGCGGGCGCCCCGTGCGTTTTTTTTGTTGGTTGGTGTTTTTTTCCCGGAAAGGGCCTGAGCCCAGGGTTCTCTTTTAGTTGGTTTCCCCCCGGTTTTGACGGCTGTAGGGCCGGCGAATTTCTTTTGCGATAAATAACGAGGTCGCGTAGGACCGGCGAATAAAATTTTGAGGATGTCTCGAGCGAAACGCTTGTTTTTCAGAATTTGTTGAGGATGTCTCAAGCGAAACGCTTGTTTTGTGCTATAGAGTGTCCTCTCCTGGGGACCTGAATTCTGAGGATTTCTCAAGTGGATTGCTTGTTTTCACGTGCCCAGGGGTCTTGAGATGTCTCGAGCGAGACGCTTGGTTTCACGCCTCCAGGTTGCCCAGACATATGTCTAGCATGAGGATTGGTTGAGGATGTCTCGAACGAGAGGCTTGTTTTCACGTGTCCAGGTCGCCCAGGCGGATGTCTAGCATGAGGATGTGTCGAGGAAGTCTCGATCGAGACGCTTGTTTGCACGTGTCCAGGTTGCCCAGGCGGATGTCTAGCATGAGGATATGCTGACAACGTCTTGAGCGAAACGCGTGTTTTCACGTGTCCAGGTCGCCCAGGCACAGCACAGCCCTCGGCACGGTACATCAATATCGATACCCAGAGCATTGCAGCCTGGCATGTTGCCTGGCATGTTCCGCGGAGCGTCCCGTGGCGAGTCCCCCTGGCACGTCGCGCGGTGCACGTCCATTGGCACGTTCCGTAGCGCGTCCCTTTGGCACGTCAGACGGTGCGTGCCCATGGCACGTCCCCTGGCACGTCGCCTGGCGCGTC